CCCCCCCCCCCCCCCCATCCCAAATCTCGGACCACGCACTTTGATACCTCACACTTTTGAACTTGAAAATAGTATCTAAAAAATAACCTTTCATTAAAATAGGATCTAAAAACCCTTCCCGATTCAATTGATAATGTGACATTAGAATTACAATGCACTTCATCGCATCAGAAAGTTAACAAATAATGTCAATTTCAGGATATGTATATTATGTCTGTAAAAAAAATGTTTTTGTGTCTTCACATAAGATCTTTTACCCTCACTCCCTATTGGGAGCGTGATATACTTTAACATGTTCGGAAATTTGATCGAAAGAAATTTCGTGATATACTTTATCGTGTCAGGAAATTTGATCGAAAGAAATTTCGTGATATACTTTATCGTATCCGGAAATTTGTTAGAAAGAAATTTCGTTGACGTTAAATTGATCGCTGGTAATTTGATCGAAAGGAAATTTGGTCGAATCTTTTGTTCAGTTTTTACGTTAAAAGTTTGCTTCAAATTTCTTTTTGAACAAATAATTTTGTTTTACTATAGACACACACAATGAGCTACCATCCAAGGTAGACACATTTCATTAGATGAGCTACTATACAAGGTAGATACATTCCATTAGATGAGCGATCATCCAAGGTAGACACATTTCATTAGATGAGCTACAATCCAAGGTAGACACATTCCATAACATGAGATACCATCCAAAGTAGGCATATTCCATTAGATGAACTACCATCCAAGATAGGTGCATTCCATTACATGAGCTTCCATCCAACTTAGACAACCTTCAATTAAATGAGTTGACCCCTTCCATCTACTCAAAGTGGCAAGATTAAAGTATTGCTAGGGCTTGAACTCCAGCCAAACAAAGTGCCCCCATGCCTTACGACACAGCACTACTTTTCTCCAACAATTTTACTACCGAGTACGGCGTAGTGGCGTAGCTAGTGTTATTATTACCGTCCGGTACTAACATATTAGTCTAACATGATTGTAAACTCTAAGTCTAAGTCTTAATCATTATTTTTTTTTTCGAAGAATGTTTTGGAAAGTAAAACGTGTTGACAAGAGTTATTACCCTTTAAGAAGAATCCAACTTGTGATTCGCGTTTATAATATTAATTTTGGAATGTGTAGATAATATCGTGAGTGAAAATTGGGGAACGTGCTGTCCGCTGATTTTTAAATCAAATGAAATTGCCAAAATCGTTCAATACTCATTAACAATATGTAAAGCATGAGAGTGAGTCTTCTAGAAGCGCGAGGCCCCATTGAGGCGTGAGGCCTTGGGCCAGTGCCCAGCACTGGTAGACATGTCTTAAGTTTAGCGACCCGGGCCTCTCTCTCACCTCCCTGGTATTTTGCATACTCCTCGGCATGTCTGGTTAAAAAACGACGTCTGATGTTGTACTCCTTGTGCACTGAAACTTTCTCGGTGCATATAAGTCACGTCGGAAAAAACTTGCGGGCCGCATTAACACTAAACTTTGCTGTCAGGTATTGGACCGCAAAATATCGCTTTGCAGGCCTCAAATGGCCCGCAGGCCGCGAGTTTGAGACCCCTGATTTAAATGGTTACATAGATTTTTTAGTTGAAACTGGGAGTAAGTAGACAGAAAAGACTTGTCTTACTTCTATTTGTCTTGTTTGCTGAGGGGGGCTCAAAAGCCGTAACCTACCTATCGTACAGAGTCCTGTCGATTAAGTCAAGCTTTAAAAAAAGGGGATAAAAAGTTTCGCACTGGCTGGTCAACGAGCTGTAACGCAATCTCGCACTTAAGTAATATTTTTTTTTATTAGGTTGTTACTATGAACAGTGACAAACTGCTCTTACGGAACACGCCATACTCATACTGTGACTTACTGTTCATGATGGTATACACCAAACTCATACTGTGACTTACTGTTCATGATGGTACATGCCAAACTCATACTATGGCTTACTGTTCATGATGGTACACACCAAACTCATACCGTGGCTTACTGTTCATGATGGTACACGCCAAACTCATACTGTGACTTACTGTTCATGATGGTACACGCAAAACTCATACTGTGACTTACTGTTCATGATGGTACACACCAAACTAATACTGTGGCTTACTGTTCATGATGGTACACACAAAACTCATACCGTGACTTACTGTTCATGATGGTATACACCAAACTCATACTGTGACTTACTGTTCATGACGGAACACGCCAAACTCATACTGTGACTTACTGTTCATGATGGTACACGCCATACTCATACTGTGACTTACTGTTCATGATGGTACACGCCATACTCATACTGTGACTTACTGTTCATGATGGTACACACCAAACTCATACTGTGACTAACTGTTCATGGCGGGCCACACCATACTCATACTGTGACTTACTGTTCACTATGGTACACACAATTGTGTACACACAGAGTTACAATTGAAAGTTCTTATCGATGTTAAGTAAATCCGAAGAAGATTGCGACTGATAGACAACGAATTTGCGTCTTATGAAACCGCGTGAAAAAATAAACTTGTGTTTGGAATCGACAATTATCCATCAAGATTCACAATCTCAATATCGGAATGACAAAACTTTTTTGAGAGAGACTGCGAAAAACGCAATAATTTATTGTGATACTACAGTGTTGTAATCATTAGGCACAAAAACCACAGCACAAAATGCGGACAAGTAAAAATAGTCGTGAGGGCAGTTTGCGAAAAATCTGCTTTCTTGCTTTACTTGGTGGTAACCACTCCAATGAACTCTTCGTCATCAAGGGTGGTAACACTGTCTCGCACAGTTGTTTAGTTGAAAATGTTGACCACCCTCTCAATCGAACCTGAGA